TCTGGACTACTTACTAGATTTATTCTTGTTACAGTATTCTCAATTTGGACTACTTAGCACTCACTACAGAATGTACTTTTTCTACACATGGTTACATTTAACAGAATTAAACCTGAATAAATGTTTGTTTGTCAACAACGTGTTTTCCTAAGTCTAAAAGTATTTCATGCTTGAGCGCTGACATTCAGGTTTGTGTGTGTGAAGATATATGTAATGTAAATTGAGGACTATGAGAAAAGACCACTTCACACTTGAGTCATAACATTAACATAAACTTTCAACTGTTGCTGTTGGTTAGAGTTGTCGTTCAAAGCACACAAGAGCTACCTGAGCATAGCAGTTTCTGATTTTTAACTAACAGACTAGAGGAAGGGCAGCTAATAGACAGAACCCACTGCCAACTTTTGGGCTACTCCTACTCTTGTCTGACTTTCAACGGACTATACTAATGATCGTATATAATACATAAATTCTAGATTCTTAGAAATTTAAGAATAAAAGGTATATATAAAGAAACCACACCAGTTTTGACACGTAAAGTAAATAAGATTTAAAACCCAAGTGTCTCCCTCCTCTCAAGGAGGCCCAGCATGGCCAGGTGGTTAGAGCGCTCGACTCACAATCTGAGAGTCGCGGGTTCGAATCCCCGTCACACCAAACATGCTCGCCCTTTCAGCCGTGGGGGCGTTACAATGTGACGGTCAATCCCACTATTCGTTGGTAAAAGAGTAGCTGAAGAGTTGGCGGTGGGTGGTGATGACTAGCTGCCTTCCCTCTAGTCTTACACTGCTAAATTAGGAACGGCTAGCGCAGATAGCCCTCGTGTAGCTTTCCGCGAAATTCAAAACAAACAAACAAGGATGTTTACTTTCTAGCCTCAAGCAAATATGATCGCTCATAAATAAATACATAAATTTAAAACGAACACAGGAATTATCTCTTGATGGAATTGTTTGTCATTACATGGCGCCGTTTTTGCTGTGAACTCTGAAAAGGTCAGAATACTTCCACAGATTACTGTTCTAAGCTTTTAAACTATAGGACTACGAAATTAATTTCCTGAAGGCGCTAGAAATAATGAGAGAAATTCACATTGTTGCTCACATGTTTGGCTAGAGAAATATGAGTACAATTTATTTTTGTAATGTCTTTTGTATTAATGATGGGTTGCCGTAACTTTGATAAACATCAGGCAAACGGCCAGCCAGCCAGAGAGGCGGATAAAAATACAAGTAGATAGGCTTACATAGTGAAATGACAAAACCATGCGCTACACGAGGCTGCCTCAGCTATAACTATCACCCATAACGTCATTAAGTAATGATAAAACCCCCTTCTAGACTCATGGCTATTGTTGATCCCAGACCTAACTCTCTCGTTGGCTTGCCCATATCTTGTTGTTGTATCTAACAATGACTCAATAATGATAAGTAATACAAGCTCGAGCTTCCGAAGCGCCCACCATCTCACAACATCAGGGTACATTACATATCTACTACTTTGTGCAGGGGGTTTAGTATAACAAGACTCCTACTGTGCTAATTTCGTGGGAATAAGGATCTCTGGGACCCCGAAGCATATGTTGAGTGTTCGCCAACTCAGACCCACATCGAGAGGTCGTATGAAGTCCCCCTTCGGATATAATAAAATCTTTTCGTCCGTGTTTATGGAAGGAGGTCGTTCTTGTTGAGCCGTTCATTACACGGTTTAAGTCTGACGGAGTCAGGCTGTTAGGATAATTGTTACAGTGACATCACATCTCATGGCTACCGTAAAACCAGAGACACACTGTTCACCAGGGGCCAGATAGAACCGCAGCATAAAGCGTGATAAATTCCTTCTTGAATTGAATAGGAAAAAACGTTGGAAAATAAACTATTCACTCAAGTCCCACATCCTTTCCGAGTGTATAACCACTAAAGTAAGTCTCTGGTTGAAACTGATTTCTTGATGTAACAATTCTTTATTTTAGAATAAACGAGGTTTGTAAACGGTAAAACCGTTTCCTATTCAAAACATCCACTCATTGGTTACACTCTGACTGATTTTAAGCTGTAAACTTCCTTTATATTTACTATAATATATCAAGCCACGTGACTCGTGTTATACTCGAAAGGCAGTCTTATTTTCCGCCAAACGTTATTCTAACATTTTCCATGAAAACAACCACATTGTTTTACACAACACTAACATTTTTTTTAACGTTGTGAGTAAAGTATACAAGGCATATGTTGTGAAATTTAATCGCGACGTTTTATCCCTATTGTTTGACGTAGAAACCATTGTAGTAACTTTTATATTGAATTTACGACACTATCTTATGCGATGTGCCTACATAAGATAACATTTTAAGGTAGAATCATATATATTGTTTAACATTACTTAATTGGGTAATATTTTACTTTAATTTACGTCACTATCTTATGCGATATCCCTACATTTTAAAGCATAATCATATGTATTGCTTAACATTTCTTATTTTGGAAGTATTTTATTGTAATTTACGACTGCTATATAGAGTAACTCTACATATATTGTTGGATTTTTCATCAAGATTAACTGGATTTGCTCACAAACTATGACGTTTTGATAGCTTATATTGATGTCACCAATGAACGGTACAAAACTCCGTGTGATTATAATATTTCAAACCAAAACTCGTTGTGATGTTTAGGCTATTTTAAAGTGCTGTTGACTTGACAAGTGCTCGCTCATGTCGTTTTTAGCTGAACTGCTATTTAGGATTTATTCAAATTTTGTTGTGTTTTACTTATTAGCGAGTCCAAGGGTTGTTATTTGTCATTTAACAAGAATATGGCCTTGTTTTACGCGGGTCTCTGTTATCTGCTAACGGTTCTTTTGTTCATTACTGGCACTACGGCCAGTCTGACAACATCTGATTTAGCATATTACTCTCTTTGACTCCTCTACGTTGTTTCAATTGAACTTGCAGGATAAATTATTCAGTAAAGACAAAGCAAGAAAATGATAAAATATAAGTCCGTCTTTATCATATTTGGCCTGTAAAGTAATCTTTTGTAATTTAGATTGTGTTATGTTCTACGGTAAGACTATCTTTCGTTTGAAGAGAATTGAGTGTGTGTGATAGGCCTGAATTACACACACGCAGAAGTTAAGGCAGTGCATTTAAAGTGAGCAAGCTGGAGAACTCGTTACCACTACCGTTAACGCTAAGAAGCCCGTTTAAAACAAAAACTAGAAAGACCCACGTGACAGACTATCCAGGACAGAAAATGACTTTGTAGAGTTAGTAATGTAATATAAAAAGTTACAGAAAGTTTGAAACAACAGTAAAAATCTACTAATGTAGAGGAAATATGAAGTTGGGCGTTACATCTTTAAGCACTTGAGCATGCAGGATTTATCAATATGTGTGTGTGTTTAAAAGTCTTTAAGTTGGTGAGCATATGTACTGTATTGAAAGTATGACATTTAGAAGCAATCAAGTCCATACGCAAGAATCACTGCTGATTTGCTTAGACTTTCATCAAAGTCACAAACTTGAAGCAATTAGATAGGCAAACGCATACATGTATCACTCGAAGTAAAATCTCATCTATTTACTATATAACATGTGATGTAACTTGGCAGTACTAGAGGATAATAGCACGCTTATTATGCTTAATTAAGTCTTGTTAGGTCCCCTAGTGGATCAGAGATAAGTCTAAGAGCTTACAGATATAAAGTTCGGAGTTCGATTCCTTGCAGTGTACAAAGCCCAGATTGCTTTGCACAAAAAACAACAACAAATATTGTGAGCATACTTAATATTTTTGATCCATGAGAGAGGATCTGAACTGAAGCTTATGACTGAGAAGAGTTTTAGGCGTGACGTGATTAATGAAGGTCATATAAAGATTTTGTCGCATAAATAAATACTTAAGGTGTATCACTCATCGTAATGCTTCGAACAAAACGGCAAGTATCACAAAACTTGAAATAATGGAAGGTATTACGTGTAGAATACACAGTGTGCCCAATAATGATCTTAATAAAGGAAGCTAAGCTTCAAGTAACACAACAAACTTTTCTTTATGATTAATCTGTGATTGAATAACTCTAACATTGCAGATAATTAAAGTGTCTACAAATGCCATCCCTGAATGCGCAGTTAAAAAATAAATGCGTTAAAATATGGAAAAAGTATGAGCAATACATTTCGTAGATTTTTTTCGAAGTTTCTAATTTACTCGTTACTTTGACTACTTTATTTTTTATATGTTGATTCAGGACGAACATATGAGACTGAAGTTAGGATGTGTTGTAAAAACGAAGAATAAGAGCTGAACAAACGAAAAAGTTATTATCTTAGAAGCTACTCTAGACGAAGTTCTCTATAACATTAACAATACGAGACGAGAAGGGTGTAGAGCTATGCCAATTATTTATATCAGGGATAAAGAACGTAGAGCTGCGTCAGTTATATATATTAATACGAGACGAGAAAAGTGTAAAGGTATGTCAATTATCTATATAAATACGAGATAGCGAGAAGGTGTAGAGCTATGCCAATTATTTATATCAGGGATAAAGAACGTAGAGCTGCGTCAGTTATATATATTAATACGAGACGAGAAAAGTGTAAAGGTATGTCAATTATCTATATAAATACGAGTTAGCGAGAAGGTGTAGAGTTTGTCAGATATTTATATAACTACTAGAGAGAGAGAGAGAGAAGAGCAGTAATTAAATTATGAACGATAAAAAAACTTTACAGCGAAAAATCATATTATCATGAAGAAATAAATTGTAACTCAAAAAATCGTTGTTCAGATATAATATTTAATATCCAAGGTAAGTTTGTTATTGAATAGTGTAGATCTTTAACTAATCATATAATCGTGTGTTATAGTTATAAACACTGTGTGTGGTAATTAAGTAGACGGGAGTTGTCACACGAGACCAAACTTACATCCAAAGTTTGACAATATTGTACAAGAGTTTGAAAACTTAAGTGTTAAAACTTGCAAGGAAAAAGTGCCGACAGCATTTTAATGCCATACGAAGGAAAGTTTATCACTGTATTGATTATCAAAACAACAAAATAAATATTTGCCTTTTTTTTTCCTTAAATATTCTGACAAGTTTATTACAAATAGATTGACAAGGTGATTTGCTATGCCTCGCCTAATTTCGAACTGAAAACCATTGTAAACTGTGGGGTACCAGCGTAAGTTCAAGTTATCACAACAGGTAAAGTGTTACTTAAAAAAATGTTATTCTTCTTTTTGTTTTTGAGTGACAAAGTTACATGCAATGATCGAAAGATGTTCCAGTATCGTGGTTTGTTGCCAGAAGTGGCTATATTAATGACAATAACTTTTCTGATTGTCAGTGAAGAAATGAAGTAGAGATTTAGATACAAGTTTTGTTTGAGGTAAGTAAATGGTCACGATCTTTATATATATATATATATATATATATTATTTGACTAACTAAATTTTTATATTATTTCTAGTTTTTCAAAATTTTCGCACCGGGGTAG